CCTACCTTATCCCAGTTAAGGTGATGTGATTTGGAGAAGGACAGACAAACAACAACCTGAAGGTGAAACCACGCGCTGAATGCAATAAGGAAAGAACTGCACATGATTCACTGCGCCAGCTCCACTCGGGCGAGCAAGGAGGGGGCGTCTCTACGCCCCCGGCTGCCGAGCCCTGAAGAAGGGGTCCGCCAGTCTCAAACTTTCAGTCGGACTTCGGCCCTTGTGGGGGCCGTTTTGCGGACCTGGGCTGCAGCGAGGCTGGGGAAATCCCCGTCTTTTTCTTTTTGCCCTCCCCGTTCAATGTATAGGTGCATGACTTCCCCCAGCCGGTAGAATGGTCTGTTCTATATTAAATGCACACACTGTCTACTATTGTCTCATCAGCACAAAGTTCTTGTGTAATGCAGGGACAGACTAAATGGCCAAAAATGAGTCACATAAAAACAATTATTCCACTAATAGGACTGATTCATTAGCAGGTCTGTTATTCATTCCAGTTTCTACCAAATGATTAAATAGGAGCTATTACCGAAAGATATCACATATATTCCCATATGCACAAACTCTCAGTCTCTTACACACACACACACACACACCTATTATATATACATGGAGATAATGATATATTTATCATCTATATAGTTACAGTAATGGACATACTTCAACTTTTAAACAAAAATGGGATTGCATAAGGTGGAATTGTTTCAATTCCATTTTATTAAATTATTTTTATTATTGTTATTGTTATTCTTAATTCCACAATACTAGAATATATTTATATTAAATGCCATTTGATTTATGGAGTTCTATGCAGGGAAAGTAATGCAGAAAGATGAAGACAGCCATAATTCTGTGACAATTGTGTTCATTTCACAACATATGAATTAGCTTTTCAGCATGTGTATGCATATAGAAAGTATTAAATTATCTCATGTGGCATTCTTATATACCTCTTGTGTGTGTGTGTACAATTATAGATATAAATTTATTCACATATATGGGCACACATACTAAAACATATATTATGTATATAGTCATTGTACTCATATTCCAGATTTAAATAACCAGTGTGATTTTATAATTTGGTGTTGGCTGCCATATGTTTATATGTACACAGTTGTATCATATGACAATCTTCGTGTGGTGCTTTGAAGTGGCATAGTTCCTAAAGAAAAGTGTTACTTGTGTAGAGAATGTGCAGTATTTCTAGGGACCTAATAGAGGTAGGTGCCATTTTTCTTCGGAAGAAAACAAAAGAACAGCAAAATAAGGTCAAAAAGTTGGCACTTCTCTGCACAAATCTACCCATTATACACAATTTTTAAAATATAATTTTCAAACAAATAGCCCACATGCGTAGTTTGAGGTTAGACTATAAACCTTAATTGAACCTAAAAATTCATACCCTCCTTTTTCAACCATCTCATTTAATAAAGATTTCTGGAGAAATTGCAGATGTTTGCCTATTCTTTTGGTTTACTTAGATTGGTCATAATGAAAGTATTACCCAATTATAGGGTTCTAAAAAAAATAGCACTTCTTTTTGTCTTTGCCCAATAAGGTCAGCGATGGTATAACTGACATTGCAGAACTTCGAAGGAAGGCTAACAGTATCTTTCTTCCAAAGATCTTTTCAGTCTCCTTATCCAACCATGTTTATTATTACTAAGCAGTTAAAAGGAACACAGTGTCCAAATTTCTTCACTGTAGTCTTTTGCTGGCCAGTTAATTCAAGGACAGCTGTGTTGCAGTTTAAATGCTTACCTAGTATTGTGGTATTTGGTGTGTGTGAAGCTTGAGAGGGCTGAGACCATTCTCCAAATTTTTTCCCCATTTTGCAACAGGCTGTATTGGCAAACAAGTTGTCTGTAACAACTGAAACTTATAAATAAGTCTTGAGGAGCATTTGGGGATAAGGAAAATGAGAAGACCAAATAGGGAAAGTTTGCAATTGAGAATACTGTACACACATGTGTGCACACGCACACACATGTATGCTGTGTGGGATTCATCATCTGCACTAATTTGAATAGCAAGCATGTTAAAGGTCACTGACAATTGTTGCATTCAGCACAAATGCCTGAGTGGGAAACATTTGCAGCCGCGCACTCCAAATCCGGTTGGACCTTATAATGTCATTTATATACACTCTATATACAGCGCAGGAGGATTGACTTTTGGCAGGCCCTTGTGTCACACCTTTCAAAGGGTACTTAATTTATATGCCCAAAAACCAGTTTGGTGTGGTGATTAGAGGCACCAGGTTAGAAATGGTAAGAGTGCGAGTTTTAGTCCCGCCTCAGGCACAAAGCCGGCTAGGTGACCTTGGGCCAGTCACTCTTGCTCAGCCCTGGGAAGAAGGCAATGGTTGACTGACTAGAAGGCACACACACACACACACAAAAAAACCTCTCGATATCCGCCCAAATGTTTCATGTTTGTTTTCACTCTTGCATTTTTTTTTAAAATCAAGATTTAATATATATTGTCACATACTGAATTGTCCCTGCCCTGGGTCAAGTGAAGACCAAGAGATGGCAGAGTTGCCATTTTCTCCCTGGCATCTCTATAGAATGACATTTCTTTGCTTGGACTTCCAAAGCATCCATTTATACACCAGCTTTCCTGGGCAGGACTTAGCACTGTAATAGAGGCTAATAAGTTCCATGTTGGGGAAAATTGACAAGTTGAATCAAAAGCATATAGGATATTCAACTTCTCCACAGTGTGTGACATGATTGACTTTCATTCGGAGGCTTGCTTTAGGTCCTTGTTGTGCTGGCAGAGGAAAAAAATATTATAGATACAGGTAGTCCCCAGTTTAAGAATGAGTTCCGTTCCCAAGTCAAATTTGTAGGTAAGCTGCAACAGTATTATTGTATAATACTGTATAAGTTGTTGTTGTTGTTGTCGTTAAGTCGTGTCCGACTCTTCGTGACCCCATGAACCATATTGCGCCAGGCCTTCCT